GAGCTGGAGTCCCGAAGGCAGTTCATGTCGTTCTGCCAACTCCTGCGACGTTGCTGGAACCAGTTGTATTGGCTCAGGTAGAACAGTACAAGGAATATGTAAGTTGCAGTCTGACATATCAGCGTGATGCGGGAACAAAAAAGGTAAATGCTATTTTAGCCTGTGTTAATAGAAGTATAGTTTCCAAATCCTGCAAGATGCTGGTTCCCCCTCTATTCAGCACTGGTTAGGCCTCATCTTGAGTACGTATTGTGTACAGTTCTGGACACCCAACTTTAAGAAGGATGCTAACAAACTGGAATAAGTTCAGAGGAGGATGATAAGGATGATGGGGGGAGGGCTGGAAGCCAAGCCTTATACAGTTCTGGACGCCCAACTTTAAGAAGGATGCTAACAAACTGGAGTAAGTTCAGAGGAGGATGATAAGGATGATGTGGGAAGGGCTGGAAACCAAGCCTTACGAGGAAAGGGGGGAGGGCTGGAAGCCAAGCCTTATGAGGAAAGGCTGAAAGAACTGCTTTTTGAGAAAAGCAGACGGAGTGGAAATAGGAGAGCACGTTTCAAATACTGTCATACAGAGGAGGGGCGAAATCTGTTCTCGATCATGCCAGACCTCAGGATGTGCAACAATGGGCTCAAATTTACAGGAAGCCAAATTTCAGCTGAATCTCAGGGAAAACTTCCTAACTGTTAGAGCAGTACGACAGTGGAACCCATGAACTAGAGAGGTGGTGAACACTCCAGCGCTGGAGGCTTTCAAGGGAAATCCAGACAACCCCCTGGCAGATAGGGGGTGGGGTGGGAGGTTGGACTCGACGGCCCTTATAGGCCCTTTCCAGATTCATGATCCTTTGGTTTTATGATATCTAGGGAACGCTGCATCGGCCAAAGGGGTCGCCCGCCCACACCAGACCAAAGGCAGGGCGCACGAACGGAGGGAGAGGACGGGGGCTCTCACCCAGCACGAGGATCCGGTCGCCTGGCTTCAGCTCCGCCTCCAGCTGCTCTCGAAAGCATTCCAAGCCCCCGAACCACTCCGCCGGTTCGGCCCCTTCCACCCGATAGCGCGACTCCCAGAAACCTCGGTCCCGGTACTGAGCGTTAGACTCGGGCCGCTGCCTTTGCCGGGGCTTTTCCATGCTTATTCTCCCCCCTTGGAACCGACCACAGAGCGGAGCGATCCGGAAGGGGCATTGGGGAGGGTGGGGGGAGAAGGAAGGAAAGCGGGAGGACAGGAAGAGCGAAGAGACCCCCGCCGAATCGAAAGGCCACCCACGTGTCTTCATCGGGGGAAAAAAACACGTGGAACTTCCGGTGGTCATTTCCTGGAGGAGACGAGTCCCACGCCGAAAAGCCTCCCACTGGAAACACGTGGCTGGTGCTACCGCCCGTCAAGTTGCTCTCAGAAAAAACGGCCTCCCTCATCTCTTGCAGACTCCACCCTGGGGTTTCCTTTAAGGAGTCACTCCAACGCGTATTGGGCCTTCCTCTTTTCCTACTGCCTTCGACTTCCCCCAGCATTATTGGGTGTTCCCCCCCCCCTTTAGAGAATCTTGCTTTTTTCCCTGTTGTGCTCAAAATAGGACAGCCTCTGGAATGCCTTCCAAGTCTAAAACTCTGTTATTGTATTCTGCTAACTGAAGCCGTTTGAAGGTTTTATTTCGTGGTCTGAAAAGGATAAGGAAAGACTCTTGCTGGTTTCTGAGCGCTTTGGCATTTGTCTCCTGAAGTGGAAGGAAGGATCAGCCGGCCCTGGAAAAAGCGGCCGATAGATTATTTGGCAAAGAAGGCTAATTTTTGCACACGGTTTCAAAATAAAAACAGTGTTTATTACACAAGCAGCATCTAATGGTAAAGTGGAACCACTGATTTTCAAAAAGGAATAAATCCCTGGTTCTACACAAGGCACGACCTAAAAGCATTTGTACCCCCTGCCTCTGTTATTTCTATCCTGATTGGTTCTGGGATAAACCTGAGATCTGGATTCCAAATGTACCCTTCATCTTCCATGTTTAATACACACGTAAACCCTGTGCTGTCACTGGAAGGACAGATCCTGAAGCTGAGGCTCCAATCCTTTGGCCATCTCACGAGAAGAGAAGACTCCCTGGAAAAGACCCTGATGTTGGGAAAGTGTGAGGGCAAGAGAAGAAGGGGACGACAGAGGAGGAGATGGATGGACAGGATCATCGAAGCGACCAACATGACTTTGACCCAACTCTAGGAGGCGGTGGAAGACAGGAGGGCCTGGCATGCTCTGGTCCATGGGGTCACGAAGGGTCAGACAGGACTGAACAACTAAACAAGAACAAACCCTGTGGTCTTTAGAGCCCAATCACATACGTGCCTTCTTGGAAGCAGACAAGACACAGGAAGGGTCTAAGATTGTGCTCTCTCATCTGCTTGATCTCTGCTCCATGTTTTCTGCTGCTTTCGATATTCTGACAGTTCTGCTTTGTGTTGGAACAGTGGCGGAAACCCGAACATTCACGTTATTCCGCCCCTGTTATTTTATGACCCAGATTCTCACACTCTTTACAGCACAAGCTTTAATGAAATGCCTGCAGATCCAAGGCCACCCACGGCCTTTCTTACCAACCCCCCCCTCCCCAGGATCTCTAGTTTGATCTCTCCATTTTGATTCCACGTCTGAATCTCAGTTGTAAGGTCGAATCTAGGCGATGGAAGGAGCTCCCGTCGCTTGTCCCAGCTCCTGCCAACCTAGCAGTTCGAAACCATGCAAACATGCGAGTCGATAAATAGGTACCACCTCGGTGGGAAGGTCACGGCATTCCATGTCTAAGTTGCACTGGCCACGTGACCACGGAAGATTGTCTTCGGACAAAACGCTGGCTCTACGGCTTGGAGACGGGGATGAGCACTGCCCCCTAGAGTCGAACACGACTGGACTAAATGTCAATGGGAACCTTTACCTTTACCTGAATCTCAACCTGGTTAAATTGCTTTCTCTTGTGCCTGAGGAAGTGGCCTGGTCCACCAAAGCTGACATCTAAGAAAATAGAACTGTTCACTTTTCTGGTGTCACCGTTTTGATCTTTTCATTCATTCGTTCTTTCCTACATTCATTCATTTCTGATTTTGGTTTTGTCGTTGTTGTTTTGTCTGTTTTGGTCTATTTATTTATTTATTTGTTTAGTTTAGTTAGTTACAGTAGTTAGTTACAGTAGTTAGTTTTTTGCTCTCCCAGACCGGACCACAGCGGACCCGGAAGGGGGCGCGGGGGAGCGCTTTGGCGGTGGCACCAGCTGTCAGGGAGAGCGACCGAGCCCCCCAGGCGGCGGCCCGAGCATGGCTCCGGGGTCCGGGTTCAAGAGGAAGGGGCCGGTGGGGCCGGGGCTCCCGGGCGGGCCGCCCTTCCTGCGCCAGATCCTGCGCCGAGCTTGGCAGGAGAAGCACCTGGTGCTGTTCGAGCCCCAGTACACCCCGCTGGTGGCCGCTTGCCTCTGCCTGGCCGAAGTGGGGGTCAACCACTGGGTCATACAGAGGGTGGCATGTGAGTGAGGGGACCCCTCCCACGTCCCTTTGGAGGCCCCCCGGGGGGGGGAATGAGGCGATCTGGGGTGTGTTTGTGTGTGTGTAGGAATTGGGGGGCCAGCCATCCGTCCTATGGGGAGGAATGCCCGCGTCGAGGGGGGGGGGCTGCTGCTGATGATAATGATGATTTGTGAGCAGAAGACTGGAAAACAAGGTCCAGAAGGGCAAAGGAGGAGGGATGGAGAAGTAAAGAAGGTGCCTGAAGTCCTACAAGAGCTCTTGAGCAGTGGTGGAGGACGCCAGGATGTCTTGAGGACTAGCGCGTTGATTGTCAGGATAAAAAAAAGACTTTGCTTCTGTTTTTCTTGCATTTATTTATTTGAAATATATTTTTTTCACCCTGCTTTTCTCCTTGAAAAGGACCAAAGGCTTTTTTTCACCCCGCTTTTCTCCTTGAAAAGGACCGAAGGCGGCTTAGGACAAAGAAAGACCGTGTTTGAGGAGAGTCCATCACGGTGGTTTAGCCTCACGCAAAAGTGATGTTTAAAAAAAAATGATGAACAGCGAATTAGGAGGCGGACAAAGAAAGACTGTGTTTGAGGAGAGTCCGTCACGGTGGTTTAGCCTCACGCAAAAGCGATGTTTTTAAAAAAATGATGAACAGCGAATTAGGAGGCATCTTGCATAAGGCAAAGGGGCCTCCTGATAAGGCCATATTAAGGCAAAGATCAATAAGTATACAAAAAAAGACATTGAAAATCTCTCTGAGAAATGGAAAACAGAGATGATTCACACAGCTCCCTCTCTGAAAATTGTCTTCTCGATTTAAGAGTTTCAGGTTGTCCCATCTCACAGGAAATGACAGTTCACAGAATCATGGAATCATGGAGTTGGAAGGGGGCTTGTAAGGCCATGGAGTCTGACCCTGTGCTCAAGGCAGGAACGTGTTCAATGGTGGTTTTCCCTAGAAAGTGGTGAAATATGAAACACTCCACAAACACCCACCTGTACTACCATCGACTGAAAGCAAACTAAAATAAAAGCCCCTCGGAGCTTATTCAGAAATACCGCCAGGCTGTCACAAGAGGACACGGAAAGGATTCCTATCGGAATTGGAAAAGCCCTCGGCATGTTTTCCGAGTGGTTTCTTGTTATATGAACTTGGGAGACTCATGATGAAATCCACAGAGCATAAATAATTTTTAAACTCTTCTTTTAGCTTTTTTCCCCCTTTCCAGCGGCTATATAGAGTATATATTTACACTTCTGCTTCTCATGGGCTCTCTCCACAGATACAGAGATTGACTGGAAAGCCTATATGGATGAGGTGGAGGGTGTTGTCAATGGGACCCTGGATTACACTCAACTGAAGGGGGACACTGGCCCGCTTGTGTGAGTACATCTCCTAGAGAGGGGGAAGCATCTTCTCAAACTAGGGTGTGGGTGGGGCACATGGTCTTCTTTCCTCTCTCCATTCCCTTTTTCTCCCTGCAGGTACCCCGCTGGCTTTGTTTACATTTTCCTGGGTCTCTATTATGTCACTAATCACGGCACCAACATCCGGCTGGCTCAGTACCTTTTCTCTGCCCTTTACCTCACCACGCTGCTGCTTGTTTTTCGCATCTACAGCCGAACCAGTAAGGTCAGTAGCTGCTACAGTATCTCAAGGAAGTCCCGAATAAATCTTTTTTTCCATGTTACAGTCTCAGACCCTCAGTGTGGATCTTGTATGGCCTGAAAGTGAAGGGCAAAAGCAAGTGGCTTCAAATTAGGGTCAGGAACTATAGAACTGGATGCGGCTTAGGTGGCTCGTTTCTTCTGAATATAGAGCCTTTGATGTACATGGCACTTTTTTAAAAAGGGGGGGCCTGAATCCATGTTCAGTCTAAACTGATGCTGCAAACTTGGATATTAGCTTTTAAGAACATATACATTTATGAGTACACAAGGCATTCGTGCTGTTCATTTGCATAAATGTACTTTGTTGTCGAAGAATGTTGTTATTGGGCCATCAAGTCACTCCTTAGTTATGGCGCCCCTTTAAATGAGTGACCTCTGACGAATGAATGGTACAGGCGCTCCTTGTCATTTTTGTGAAATTGTTCTTGCTCTCGTGTCAAGCAGAATCCTGAGACTCTAATGCGGTGCTTTTGAAGTGGAGGGGAAAAGCAAGTGGCTATAATTCAAAGCTTGTGCAGTTTCTGCTTAAAAGGGCAAAGTTGTCTTCTCAGTGGCCGGAGAAACTGAGCTCTCTCTGCTGGGCTCCACTCTCAGCCTCCACTTTTGGTAGGTCCCATGAACCAATACAGGTTGTCTATGTGTAGATCAGGTGACAGGAGCTGTGGAATGGGAACAGCAGCCACTTGAATCACTTTGAGCTGGCACTGCAGCCATGCCAAGGGTGTCTGATTTACTCATTGCCCCTTTTCCTGCAGGTCCCTCCCTACGTTTTCTTCTTCATGTGCTGTGCTTCCTACCGCATTCACTCCATCTTCATCCTGCGCCTCTTCAATGACCCGGTGGCCATGGCCATCCTTTTCCTGGCCATCAACCTCTTTCTGGAGGAGCACTGGTCCTGGGGATGCTTCTGCTTCAGGTGAGACCCTCTTTGAACCAAACCTTCCTAAAAAGTAGGATTTTTAAAAGTAGGGACTTGTAGAAACACACACCCCCTGTTTCTTTATGGGGTGTATCTCAAACAGATAATGCTGTTTTCCTTTAGCCCTTTACAGATCAGACATCTTGGTCCCTCTTCTTTTGCTCGGCATCCATCCTCTAGAACTTAATCAACCTAATCTTTCTGTTCACCTCCTGTCAATAAGGGCATCTGTTTCCCTTCCGTTACTTTGGATCCAAGTTGCCTCCTCCTCCAAGATAATCTTTGGGAATCATAAGAAACTTCAGCCCATGACCTCCACTCGTCACTCCCCAGTATTTTCCCAAAGAGAACTCAGCCATGAAACGTCAAAGCACGTATATTTACTGTAACAGTTCATACTGAGAAAAAGACCAGTGGAATCGAAGACAAAATGTACTGAAGGAAGGTCAAAGGAAATCCTTTAATTGTGGTAAAGAGGTGGGGCAGGAGAAGGCAGAAATGAGAAGAACAAAGATAGGATGGGATTATGAGATGCAAGAGGACGAGAAAAGGTGCAGAAATGTCTCCAGGCCCCCAAGCTCTGATCCTGCTTTCCCCTATTTAACCAATTTCTTCGGCTCCCATCCTTTGCTGAAAGATAAATAGTTGTCATGAGTCAAAATCTAGTAGCTGGATTTCTCAGGATACGGGTGGGCCATATTTTTTCTCTTCCCATCAGTTGTTACGTATACTTCTTAGGGTTGATAGGATTCGTCGTCCAACACCATCTGGAATGCTAGACGTTGCTCACCCTGATCTCAGAATATTTTTTATAATCAGCCAGTTCAGCTGATCCATTCCTTTCTCCCCTCATCTAAGGTCTTTCCTTCCTTTTCCCTGTGTCTTTTCCCTCTCACTTCTTTTGTTCCTTGTGAATCCAGCCTTTCTTAGCCTGATTTGCCCTGTGATTCTCTTGCTTCAAAGGTTTTATATTCTTGTTTAAAAGGTGACCACCCTTTTCTCCTTCCAGACCCCTTCCTAGGATCTACTTCTTCAGCATAGCTTTTCCTGAGCCACTGGAAGTAGCTCATCTTACTTTGGCATGGCAATCTCTCCCTTATTTCATCATCACCAATATCACCTTTCCATTGGCCATGCTGTTGCTTATCCAGGTTAAGGGTGTGAACTTTACATAGAAAGACCGAATTGTTTATTTTCCATATAGCCACACAGCCAGCTGCTGATGCTTTACTAGTGTTCAATAACAGTAGCGGTAGATCATGGCGGTGGGGATCAGAATCAACCTTGTGCTAACAGCAGGCCCCTGCAACCTCTGTTTTTTTTCCCCTTCTCCAGCCTAGCTGTGTCTGTGAAAATGAACATTCTGCTCTTTGCACCGGGTCTCCTTTTCCTTCTCCTGCGGCGCTTTGGCCTTCTCCGGGCCATTCCCAAGCTCGCCATCTGTGCTCTCCTGCAGGTAAGGAGAAAGGACGTCCTGTAGCTCAGAGCGAGAACACCTCCTTTGCAGGCAGAAAGGCCCAGATGTGGTCCCTAACATCTCCGGTTGGAAGGATTTCTGGTGGTAGGGCTCGGAAAAGATGGTGCCAGTCGAAGGAAGCCATACCTGGCCGGACAGACCGAAAGGCTGACTTCGGGGAAGTAGCAAAACACCAAATGACCGTTCCACTCCATCCCTTAATGTGTGTCCCTTTCCAACTTATATACTCCCTTGCTCTCAGAAATGGGGCTTAAGGCATTCCTGATGTAGCTCCTGCTGTGTTGACTGTAATGTCTGTATTACAACCTCTTATTCCATCTCATTCTTCCCTGTCAGTGGTTTACAGATGTGCAAATCAATGTTTCTGGACGACAGCTGCCTGGGCCATTCTAGAAATTGTCATCCCAAAATACTGATCTGCACATTTCTAGTTTAAACATGTGGGACTTGAGTTCTTTCACCATCCAGTGCTGTAAAGATGGGAGAAAGAGCTGTCCAGAGGGATTTGGAAACCTGCTTAGGTGTCAGGAATATGAATATATACCGCCAGGCTAGGGAATCCTTAGGTGTTCTATTAGTCCTGTAAGTCTGAGCCACAGGACTCATGGAAAGAGAAGAGTGTGAGCTGTCGGCCAAACGCTCAGAGAGCCAAAGGTTCTGATCCCTTATAAACACATTAGCAGCATTTTAAATAGTATTGCTTTAAAACAAAAACATAGACCTGATGAATTTTTAAACACGTTGACAGGACTTTGGTTCAAAGCCTAGAAATAAGAGAGTTTAGATGGGACTTCATGTGATTATGTAGGATTGGGCTTCTGTCCATCTGTTGTGTTTTTTTCTGTGTCATCCTATCGACCCTTACATGTTCCAATCAATTTTTCTTTTTCTTGTTTCTTTATTTAAAATATTTTTACTCCTCCTTTCCTTGTTTCTTTTTTTAAAATATTTTTTACTCCTCCTTTCCCCTTAAAAGGACCCAAGGCAGCTGTAAACAATTTAGGAATAAGATACGCCGAGAATGTCTGGGTAGGCCAAGAGGTTTGGTGTGACTGCCCAATTGCCGATGGATTTTATCCATCGAGGTGATTATGAATGGCTTCTGAAACAATGCACAGTGGCAAAAACAAATGCAGAGTCTCACTTGTGTTGTATTTTTTAAAGGGAGAGGAAAGTTTGATTTCTGAAGAGGCAGTCAAGCAAATGGCCTCTCCAGCAACGATGGGAGAAGACAGCGATTCTGGCAAAATTAAACAAAAGGGAAGCCTTTGCTTGTGAACATGCAGAGTTAAGTTACAGCCTTAAGAATTGGTTGGCTAGAAATGCTGTGCATGTTTAGCCTTGAGGAAAGAAGTCTGAGGGGAGATAGGAGAGCACTCTTCAACTACTTGAAAGGCTGTCCTACAGAGGAGGGGCAGGATCTGTTGTCCATCATCCCAGAGTTCTGGACACATAGCAACGGGCTCAAGCTACAGGAAGCCAGATTTCGGCTGAATATCAGGAAAAAACCTTCATTGTTAGAGTAGTAAGACAATGGAACCAATTATGCTAGAGGCATTCAAGAGAAAATTGGACAACTGTCTGTCAGAGGTCTACTTTGAGTTGGATTCCTGCCTTGAGCAGGGGATTGGACTCCATGGCTTTAGAGGCCCCTTCCAACTTCATGATTCTATGATTCTGTTTTGTTTACCTGTTTCTAAATGGGTGGAATTTCGTGTCAGTACGAATAGCTATGCCTCTGCTTGGAGACTGGGAGACTGAAGCATCTGGCAGCCACCTCAGCTGACACATTCTCCTGCAGAGTCTGGCGAGGGTCAGCCACAGCCGTCAGAAGGGCCACAGACATAGAGCCTTTAACAAGAGGGTTTCAGAATCCAAGTATTTCTTGCAGGTGGCTCTGGGGTTGCCCTTCCTGGTGGTAAATCCTATGGGATACCTGACCCGCTCCTTTGACCTCGGACGTCAGTTCCTTTTCAAATGGACAGTGAATTGGAGGTTCTTGCCAGAAGAGGTTTTCCAGCATCGGGCATTCCACTTGGCCCTGCTGATCACCCACTTGACCGTTCTGGTGCTGTTTGCACTGAACAGGTGGCACAGGTAAGCTGGCAGCATTGCTCCTATGTTTACAAGACAGACAGAATGGAAGGGGCACACATCTCTAGAGATGGGCAAGAACCGGTTCGTCCCAGTTTATCAAGGTGACAGCACAGCCGGTGCTAGGTCCCCTTCCCCGCTTTCTCTGGCTCAATCAGCCACTTGCCAGGCCCAGTGTGGTAGCTTTCTGCATCACCTCAGCTGATCTTCAGGTCCCAGCAGCAGCTCAGGCTTCTCTGCCCCGCCCACTTGGCTGATCTCCCAATCAGAGAAAAGGGCGGGGCAGAGAAGTCTGCGCTCTTGCTCCTGACTGGGAGATTTGCTGAGGAGGTGGGGAAGAAAAGCAAGTAAGCTGGGCCTGTTGAGTGGTGGATCGGCTGAGGAGGCAGGGAAGGGGAGAAGCAGCGCCTGTCCTGCCACCTTGACGAACTGGGACAAAACCGGTTTGTGCCCATCTCTAGTCTGGTTGCTAAACTGTGATCCATATTGTTTTAGGAGACACATTTTTGTTGCATATGGTTTAGAGTTTGCTTCTACCTTTCTGATCCTGGCATGACGGTGTGTCCAGTGCGAGAAACGGTGAGGGAGTTAAAATGGAACTTTGGCCCTGTAGAATTTCAGCTTGTATTGATCACCTTTTTAATTTTAAGTTACTTGTATGGCTTACCCAGAGGGTTTGCGTCTGAGGCCTTCAAGCACCCAGCATGGCCTAGAGAGTGTCACTTCCTGGGATGTTGCCTCTTTGCCCCCATCTCTCCTTGCTGTGCAAATAGCTTCATCTCCTGCTTCGGGGGAAATGTCTCCAGAGCCCCAGATGGCTAGTCAGTATGACTGAAGGAGAATTCCTCCCAGACCCAGAAAGGTAGGACATGGCAGGGCGGAGGACGAGGCACACTCAAAAAGTTTGAGCAACATTCTCCGTTTCATCATCACAAGGGAGCTGATAACTACAGGCAGACAGACGTCACCCAGAATCTTTTTGGTAACGGAGAGCAGCCGACTGTAGTAGAAACGTCTTGGAGGTGGACTTCCTGGTCGGGGAAGAAGGCCATGTCTTATGGATCTAAACTGTTCTGCTTCCTTTCTCCCCAGGTCTGACGAAAGCATCCTATCGCTGCTGAAGGATCCACCAGAGAGGAAGACCGCTCCTCAGCACCTCTCGGCCAACCATATCCTTTTGCCACAGAGGCGCGAGGGGACGACGTGAGGCCCCCTTTGGATCTCGGGCTTGAAGTGGGAACCGCACCAGAGGTTTGGTTGAGCACCTCCCTGGGAAGTGTTAGACGTCCCTTGAGCTCTGTGCCTATCTATCCTTAATGGAAAGCCACAGATCGTCTTGGCTCTCTTCACCTCCAACTTCATTGGGGTTTGCTTCAGCCGCTCCTTACACTACCAGTTCTATGTCTGGTATTTTCATACGCTGCCCTACTTGCTCTGGTGCTCGCCTCCTAGGAAGCTCGCTCATCTTTTAAGGTATGTACCTTCACGGCCCCAGAAGGGAGGGAAGGACACAGAAAAGGGGGGGGGGAACCTTCACGGTATCTCTGGATCTGTTCACACACACCAGCCTCATAGAAATCATTGAAAAGTGAAGTTGGACTTCACACACACCAGCCTCATAGAAATCATAGAAAAGTGAAGTTGGAAGGGGCCTACAAGGCCATCCAGTCCAACCCCCTGCTCAAGGCAGAAATACAATCAAAGCATATCTGCCAGGGGATGATCTGAGTTTTTCTTGAATGCCTCCAATGTTGGAGCACTCATCAACTCCCAAGGAAACTGGTTCCACTGGTGTACTGCTCTAACAGGAAAGGAAACTGGTTCCAGTGTCGTACTGATCTAACAGTTAGGAAGTTTTTCCTGATCTTCAACTGAAATCTGAGATGACTATTTTCTTCCTATCATCAAGGTTATGTTTTGTGTGAAGAGACATAGCTGTCAGCTGCACTTAAGGTTAGATAAGGGGGAATGGCCATGTCTGCACACGTTATCCAAGTTACTTAGCGAAAAGGTCCCTGCCATCTAGAAATTAAAACTACAAAAAATGAATTTGAGTCTTAACGTCCTTACATTTTTAGGAAATGGACCAAGTGCCTCATGGCATCTTGAAGAGTAACAAATTTATTATGGCATAAGCTTTCACAGAATACAGCCCACTTCATCATGATACATTAAGTTTATCCTGAGTTGCAGGTAGGCATATATAAGACAGGAGCGGGATGGTCAGCCGTAAAGACAGCGGGGAACGAAATGCAGAAAATACAGACAAAGACAGGATAGTTTACATGGCTTTACAAATGTTTTTAAAAAGGGGAAGAAGTGTACAAAAGGGTAAAACATGGAACTAGCAACCCACGCTCCCTGACCTGTGTTTATATAACCCCAAAGGGTTCTGAAGTACTGAGTTATAGAAAATGGTCCCTGTTTGACTTAACCTCTAAAGGGAGACAGACGAAATGAACTATGGGGCGACAGATCCAGTAACCCTACATATGTCATAAAGCGTGTCTGGGTATATCAGGATTTCCTCTGAAGTAGGGGAGCAGAAAAACTTGACACTTCTCCCGCTGGGCAGGTATCTCTGCGCACAGCCTTTTAAGGCGTTTTGAGTGGCTTCTGCCAAAATCTCAGAACAATGGCCGGCTTCTCCTTCCTTTCCTGCAGGGTGCTTCTTCTAGGTCTGATCGAGCTCTCCTGGAACACATACCCGTCAACAGTTTATAGCTCAGCGTCCCTCCACGTGTGTCATGGCATCATCCTCCTGCAACTGTGGTATGGGACGGTGTCCTCTTCGGAGCCTCAAGAAGAGAAGAAACGGTTGAGAAAGGCAGAGTAAGAACTGGATGGGAACGGCCTCTGTCCGTGGACGTCAGCGTGAGATCGTCTGAGCTTGGGTTGGACATTCTTCTGGGAGAGCCGAGGATGATCAGTGTCTGATACCTCCTACAGTCTGTCGCTCCAGTATCGGCCCTTCTGGCCCTGCTTTGCTTTGACTGGAGGGTGGACGTGCGGGAAAGCATACCATCCACCGGCCGGCCTGTGGCGATGTGGGATGCCTTCAATAAAAGCAGCTGGTGGCTGGCAGGGGGCCTCTGGCCTGTTGTATTTTGCATTTTCTCTCCTAGCTGCAGGTGATGCATTGCCTTAGGGAGTAGTGTCTTAGAAAAATCAGGATATTTTAAATACTGTAGGGGGAACAGAGGTTGCTAAGCCTCCCAGCTATGGGGGGAAAGCCTGAACACAGAATGCTAAAATCTCTCTGTGGGTGGTGAGGAAGAGAGGTGGAAATGGGGATGAAGTAGGAGACGCCACAGATAGGGGAGGAAATGTTCCTTTCCCCTGTTGGCACATCATTCCTCTTAAGAAAGAACTTGAAACGCTGGAGCTAGCGACTGAAAAAAGGCCACTAAGAATCAAAAGGGAGGTACTGGCATGCTTGCCTAAGTCCTTTTCAAAATCAGGGATCCTTTCCAAGGGGGCAATCGCTGTTAAACAACCCAGAGAGGAGTATGTATGCTTACCGACATTTCCGCTGGCAATGGAGAATGGAACATCCAGAATGAATGCCTGACTGACTGGTGTTCTGAACAGGAGCGAGCCACACCGCAACAACCTATTTCAGGACCCCATTGTGAGTCACACCTCTAGGCTCCATGCAGACTTTCCTTCTAGCTTTGTGCGTTTGTCCCCCAAATGTTTGCATTGTGGCCTTCAAAAATCTTCAAAACCAAGTCTCTTGCGCCAAGTCAATGGATGCAGCTCCGTCAGTTTAATTTGCTTTTATATTCTAGGTCTGGAAAGTGCTCTCTGGGGCGATATTTATTTTTGAAGCACCTGTTTTTTCACCTTAAGTCACTGGGGCTTCATCCAAGCCCTGATACAAGATGTAGTTAAGCGTTAGAACATGGCCACACAGAAGTTTCCAGATTTGGTGCTCTCTGCTCCCAAAGGTTGGGCTCCCTCTGACCCACTGGAGGGTTTTGTCAGCGTGGACAATCATGATAAGACAGCTATGGGTTCAATCAAATATAAAGTGGCTTCATAGACTTATGCCAAGGAAATGGTAAAAGACCATGTTCTGTGTCTGGACTGCCTGACCATCTGACATGCAGAAAGCTCTTGCAATATTAGTTTGTTTGCCAAGGACTCCATGTTGTGGCCATGAATTTTCTCTCTCTGGGACAGATTTTGGAGTGCATTTGGTCAGTAGCTTCCAGGCAGACATGAAACAGACTATTGAAACAGTGCCCGTGAATGTACCCCGGACTCTTCTGTGGCTGAGCATTGAAGACGGCTGGCTTTGGGGCATTTTGTCCAGCATTGTGGATCTTTTCCTACAGGAATCCCTGGTTTCCAGTTTGAAAACTGCTCTCATACACCCTAGAAATGTATTTTAGGATCGTAAACACCCCTAATTTGGTCAGATTTTCAAAGGCGTATGCTCTGTAGAGAGCACTCGAGAATGGACCTGGCTACCTGGGGTAGCCCAAAGATCCGCAATGCATCGTCTGCCTTGGGTTGTATTTTGAAAAACAAACAAACAAACACAACAGTTAATACGGAACTACGGGGTTGAGGGCAGAGGTTTCTTGGCTTTGAAATAACAGGCTGACTGTGTAGGATTTCTATCAGCACCGATGACACCAAAGGCTCAGCAGCCGCCCCCCCTGCTACTTCACACATTGCTGGGGCTGTAACACAGCATGTTCAGCTTGATGTTCTCATTCCAGTGGCGTAGCAGCAGGAAGAGTTGGTGAGCGGCCCCTTTCAGGGCAGCCACATCCACCCCTTCCGGCAACGGCTGCACCCTCAGCCAGGCGTCGGCTTTGGCCGCCAGCAGCTCCCATTCCACGAAGAACCCAGCGCAGCGATGCTCCAGCCAGGCGAGGGCCACCGCCGTGGCCCAGCTCATGCTCTCGAGGTCTCCCTCCTCGGCGTCCGGCCCCGCCTCCTGCAGGCTGATGCTCCCGTCGGGAGAATGGTCGCAGGCGTCTGTCTCCGAGCCCCGCCCGCTGTCCGCCTGGGCCCACACGGCAGAACTGAGCACTTCGGAGCAGGTGCTGTGGGAGTGCGGCGAGCCCAGCTCCACCGTGGCCCTCTCCCGGCACATTGCAACTGCTTCTTCTTCTCCCCCTCCTCCCTCTGGGGAAGGCAAGCTGCCGCCGGAGGGCTTCGGGCTGGTCTTGGCAATCAACGCCCAGGGAGAAGTGCTGGAAGCCGGGCTGAGACTGGCACGGTGGGAGGCGTAGGGAGAGGCCCGGCGCAAGCGGTCCAGGGGGATCTGAATGACGTCGGCAAAGCTCTCCGTCAGCTGGAACATGCCGGGGGCCTGCTGGAGCTGCACCTGTTGGATAGATATTGAGAAAGCTGGGTGTCCTTGAGAACGGACGTGGCTGTTGGTAGGACTTGAGTCACAACCTAGGAGAAGTTTTTCCTCCACAAGTTCTCAAGCTCTTGCGTAGATCCTTCCAATTCACCTCAAGGTCAAACTTGACATGTCATGCCTGTTTAGAAGAAACATTCCCTTAAGTGGGAAAAGATGAAACCCCTGTCTACGATTTGGTATGCCTTCCCAGGGCATCTGCAGAAGAAGGGATGGGGAAACCACGTCTTGAGTCTTCTCTACCTTTAAAACCCCGAAGGGCCATACATCAGAATTGACTTCAGGGCACGTGGTTAGAATTGTTCTGCAGCTGATCACTGGAAAACGAACATAGGCTTAATTTGTGAGTCTGAATGCTAAGGCAATCAAGAGGGTCTCAGTAACCACTGGCCATGCTAACTGGCGATGATGGGAGTTTTCGTTCAAAATACGTAGAGAACCCCACATTTGCCAGTCTCTAGTATATTACTATCACACAGAAGGGTGTGCCTTTACATGGTCTGGCCTCCAAGCCACACCATCAGGAGAAGGTCAGATAGGTTGGGCAACGGATGTATGATTCCCTCCCACAAAAATATAGGGTGCTATTACCGGGGTGGGTGTGGGAAGAAAGGAGGAGATCCTTACCAGTGGGAGGTAGTCTTGGATGACCATGTCGGAAGGCGGGAGCTCGCTTTCAGGGGTCAGACACTGTGGGCGCAGCGCCAACCCTTGTCCCCGTCTGATGCTGAATCTGCAGACAAAGATCGCCCAGTTAAAAAAAAAAAATCAGGATCATACCCAAGGTCTGTGTTGTGGAGGGCAAATGGTGGCCCTTGGAGAGTACAGTTGGGTGGAACTCCCATCTGCCACAGCCAACAGAACTGACGATGATGGGCAATGGGAACCGAAGTCCAATGAGATCTGGAATTCCCAACTGGTGTGGTCTAAGGTTGTGTTTCTTACAGCAGCTAGCCCACTTGGCCAACGAAAGCCAGGCGGCCATCTTATGCCTCTCCCTTTTTATCTACTATGTGAAGATATAATGCTTCAATACCTGAAGGTTCCATTTAGCTTCCGGCAAGGATTCGCCAGTTATGTGACTAGATCTGTCTGCCATGGGAGATATGACCTCACCAAGGCAAAGGGTACAGAATTCTGAACACTGAAGTTTAGAAGTCGGTGGCTTTAGTTCTTCCTCACCCAACGCTCTCCGTGGAAACTCACTGGAGGAATGGAACCGGTGAAACCACTCCTTAAAATAACTCATTTACCTATCAGTTCTGACTTGAGGGCGCAGAACACACATCTCCGGGGTCAAATTAGGACTTGAAGAAGTCCCTTAAGAGGTCAAAGACCTCTCCCCCAGCTCCAGATTTTCTCACCTCCTAATCTTGAAAATTAACTTGCTTTGTTTTTGTGACTGGTCAGTGGGAGGCCCAGATAAGCTTTAATTTGGAAGCCTCTTTGATCAGGTTCATGGCGCTGAGGAAATCTAGTCCCTGGAGGGGAAAGGGGCCATCAGCTTCTAAATGGGAGCTGGGTGTTTCCTGTGGTTTGATTCTTAGGCTACTTTCTGCCTACGTCTGGTGTAAAATCTCAAAACAGGGCCACATTTCCCATAATCAGCGGGCAGAGATTCAGTGGTCTGAATCAGCTCTTTAAAGAAAGAAATAAAAAAAAACCCTTTCCATCTCTAGTAGAAACCCTTTCCATCACATTCACATTTATATACTGCATGTGTCCAGGCCCCTGTTTATATATTCTGCCCACTCCATTCTTTCCTTTTGCTGTGCTGTTGCTTATGGTCAGATTAGCCTCCCAGTAATATCTATTGATCAAGCCACTATTCTCTGTATTGGATTCCTTCCCAAAACAAATCATTTTCTTCTCCTGTATCTTTTGCTGGCTTTATTTCTCTGTTAAGTCCCCTCCATTGCCATCTACTATGCCCTGTCCATCTCTTGGAAGACTTTGGTTAAACCCATTGGCAGGACAGTTTTTGAATTTCATGTTACACCTTATATATTGTCAATATTACAGGGACTAAGCAACAAAAGAATTAATTCGTAAAAAGGAATGATGCTTTTTTGTGATGCTTAGTTAGCTTAGAAACCCTGAAGGTGTGATGTGGCTTAGTCCAATTTTAATGGCTTCCAGCATCACTGACTTAAGACATTTCTGCAAAAGGTCTCTATTCCAATCTTTCCTCCTGACAAGAGATATTAGGGATAGTGGTGGTGCTGCGGGTTAAACCGCAGAAGCCTCTGTGCTGCAAGGTTGGAAGACCAGCCGTCGTAAGATCGAATCCATGTGACAGAGTGAGCTCCTGTCACTTGTCCCAGGTCCTGCCAACCTAGCCATTCAAAAGCATGTAAAAATGTGAGTAGATAAATAGGTACCACCTCGGTGGGAAGGTCACGGCGTTCCGTGTCTAGTCGTGCTGGCCACGTGACCACGGAAACTGTCTTTGGACAAACGCTGGCTCTACGGCTTGAAAATGGGGATGAGCACCACACGCTCGAGTCGGACACGACGGGGCTAAATGTCAAGGGGAACCTTTTACCTTTACCCTAAGAGATATGGATTCTGGAAGTCACCTGGAGCCTAAGAAGTTCTCTATTGACCTCTGAGAGCCCACAGAAACAGGAGAAGGACTGGAGTCATGGACACCTAGACAGCAAGAGAGAGGAAGAGAGAGAGAGAGAGAGGAGTTCAGAGGCGGGGAAAAGTGGACAAAGTCCAAGGTTGTACAGCTGTTTTTCTAGAGGACATGCTGTCGTGGCAGCTTTCTTGACAAAGACCTGCTAAGTGGAGGGTTCAGATAAGTCTGTTGCATCACACAACTCTTTCTTTTCTTGCCACATCTGGCAAAATCAAAATAAGGTACACAAAGTGCTGTGTTTTTAACTGTTTAAAGCAGAGGGTCTAATCCCATCTTGGTCAAACACGTCCAGATGCTTTTCCTAATCAAGCATCCAAACCTTTTTTCAACCTCGGAGCCAAATTCTGGTTTGGCCAGAGTTGTGGTTCCTACATATTAATCATTTGCTGGACGTTGTGGGTTTTTCGGGCTCTTTGTCCGTGTTCTGAAGGTTGTTCTTCCTGACGTTTCGCCAGTCTCTGTGGCCGGCATCTTAAGAGGACTGGAGTAGGAACTCTGTCCATGCTCTGTTGGTGTTTGTTGGATAGTGAAAGCCTTCACGAATACATTTACTGGGCTAATGGCACAAAGGATGGGGCCAAAGATAATTCTTGCTTATTTGGACATTTACCCGTGTCTAATACGTAGCTCCCACATATTGCTAAGTAAGCCCCAACACAAGAGCTACCGTTTCTTGGAAGCAGAAGGTCACAAAAGCTTTTCAACCTTTGCATACACTCTGTTTCTGATCACTGATCAGAAATAATAGCTGAAGAAGCTTGCAGACAGAAAATGGGATCCCTTTAAGCCACATATGGCCCACAAGCCTGAGGTTCCTCCTCCCTGTGCAACATCTTCCAAACATCATTATGGTACATCTTACCATTAGAACCGTTTTGCTTTTCTTGGGTAGCAGAAGAGAGACTAACAGGAGAAGGAAGAACCTCTTCTCGTTCTAGGAAGCAAAGATGAATGCAGATATTAAATTAATTGACATTCAGATGATGATGATGCTGTATGTTGCCAAGAAATGGTGCAGAGTTAAGTCAAGCTCCTGAAGCAGCAGAGTCTAGTACGAACCAGAAGCTAAAACTGGATGATGCAAAAAGGTCACACCAAAGGAGATTCAATGAGGCATGGCAGGGAGTGGCTGATGCTGATTAAGAACTGTGCAAAAAGTACTTCTTCAAAGGATCAGAAGCCACTGAAAGTATTGAAAGGATCAGAAGCAACATCCAGTGTTGGATGGTTGCAGAGGAGAGACATGGCAAAAGGCTGGCATCACACTTCTAAACATTACCTGTTCTTGCACAGAGTAGCCAGCATGGCACAAAGACCAAACTAGGTCAGAATTTCTCGGCACTCATAGGGCATATACTTCCTGCCGTCGCTGGGAAGCAGAGCTATTTTTATGCTGCAGGAATACGGGGCCAAAATAGAAATGTTTTTTTACAAGATTACCATAGCTTCAGGAGGAACGATCTGGGAAATTCCGTAAGGTGTAGTTCAAAAAAAGGAAAAAAAATTGGTTCTATAGTGTGTGTGTGTGTGTGTGTGTGCATTTTTGCACATGGGCTAGTGACAAAAACAGTCAGCTTACAGCCTGAAGAGTGAAGAAGGTGGAGAACCTCACGGGTTTAGCTGGAGAAGCTAACCGGAGAGGCTCTCTGGGGATCTGATCCAGGCATCCTATTTGCTTTCACTGTTTCGACTTTTGTATTTTTAAGTGAAACAAGCATTAAAGAAAGATAGAAAAGGACTGGAATGCCAGTTATCTCCAATTTTGCCCTGGCCCAAGGAGACCAAAGTTGCTCTGTATGAGGATTCCTCCTCGTTGGACGAAGTGATGAGAGTAGGTGAACCGTCTGTTCTGAACCGAAAGCCACTCCTTTTGCAAAGGCAGTAGAGGTAAAATGCTCTGATCAGATATAGTAAGAGAAGTGTTTACCAGCAGAAACGGGAGCTTCGTCCATGTCCTCCGAGTCCTGCCTCTTTCCCAGACCTGCTGAGTAACTGCGCGGACGCCGGCTGAGCGAGCGGGACCCTTGTTGGTTGCCTCCTAGAATTAAGCACGTTTCAAGAGCAGAACCTTCTTGATTTCTCCACGTGGAAGCACGCTGAAGTTTAGACTCTGTCTTATGTTAAACGCAGAGCTTAAAAACCAACCAAACAACCAAACAACCAACCCTTGGAAGTATGGGAGCCCCGAGATCAGGCCTCCTGCATACAGACAAGGAAGGTTTAAATTTATCTCCCCAGCCAGTTGTTTCTTAGGACCCTCTCCTCTAATATATATGCACACCTCTTTATCATACAATCGGTTTTGAACTCTCAGAAATTTCGGAGGAAGAGATAGCTAGGGATGTAGAGGACATGTGCTAAATCACGTCCCGAACATTGCAAACCAGCCCAACCCTTTTCCGTGGCTATCTGTACCTTTCTGGATTACTGTCAGGGGCTCCTGATTTTATTTAGTGTGCGTAGGATCGCTCTGTTTTAGTTTACCTTCCAGCATATGTGACTGCTGGTGTGGAACCCAAGAGTAGTTATAACTACTCCCAAGCAGCTTTGGTAGGTGTTTCCCACAACCATTCAGCGCTATGTCACTTGAGTGGTATGCCAATGAAGTGCTATGGCACTTACCAATAAATGTTCCCCACCCCACCCCAGCTTTCCTTTGTCCTCTACAGAGAGAGAGAGAGAGAGAGGATGCTGGAGAGCATGGAGGCTGAGAAGGACAAGTGGCCTAAATAGAGTTCCTTTGAGGTGTGGTGTGGTTTCCATCCCAAAACCACCCACTGCTTGTGTGTGGCTGCAAGGGCCACGCTAGATGGCACACCACTCCTCAAAACAACTCTATTTCGCCCAACACAGCCCAGGATAACACGACTCTGTAGCTGCACCCTTCCTTGAGCAGACAAGACATCAGACTAACAATTTGATTTCTTTCCTCCAGATGAGATTGAGACAAGGTGCGCTGTTTTTAATCGTCGGGATCGCCATAATTTGCACAAATTTTCTCTCTGCAAACCTAGTGCCCTTTTTCTTTGAGAAATAATAGGGTGCACACAAGGCAAGATATAAACAACTCCCCCTAGTGTTTCTAATCCTTAGAAGTCAATGCAACAAAGCAGCTGCCCTTATCATTGGACACAAACTGCTTTATCTGCATCAAAGTGTTATTTGCATTAATGCATCTTTTTGTGTCCTCTTTCTTCATTTGCACACAAAATCCCTTCTCATTCTCCCTCTCATATGTTAAGGAGGGGACGACGGAGGACGAGATGGT